TTGGGTTGTGACCATGTGAAGAGGGGTATTACTTGGACTCGATTATTCTTCGGTGTAAAACATGTATTGAAAACTGTACAAAGTGTATTGATCAATTGTCATGCGAGGTGTGCCAAAAAGACAACATATATGTCACCAACAAGTGTGTTCATTATACTCATTTCAAGTTTTGTATTGAAGCGTTTAATGGTGAATGTTTGAAATGTAGTGAAGGTAAACAACTCAGTGATGATAGAAAATCGTGTGAAGACACCACAAACACAGTATTAATAATAAGTCTATCAGTCACTTTGGTAGTAATAGTTATTATTTTAGTTATAGTACTATTATTTACACTTTCCTATTTGTACAATTACTTTGGAAACAAAAAGAAGATGCAGAATGTTTGTGTATTCAAAATGAAGCGATCAAATGTTACGTTTTATGATATCAACGAATGGCTTGTATCCAACAAGAAAACACTTGTCTTTGTAAACGATGACAACGAAAATAGCGACATTCCAGTTGGCAAAGAAACACGCGAGTTGTTGTGTGTTGGAAACAAGTCAAAAAATACAATTAAAATTCAGTTTAGTGTTTTAAAAGGATGTGAAAATTACAACATCAGAACAGAGCCAAGTTTGGTAAATTTAAAAAGTGGAGAAGCATGTGAATTTGAGATGTTTTTAACACCAATTTGTTCTTGCAACATCAATGATAAAATTGTATGTGTTGGTCTTGATATTCAAAAAGGTTTACAAATGATCCAACAAATACCAATAAGTGCAAAAACACAGATGACAACGCATATTGATTATCACGAGTTACAGGAGGAAAAACGACTTGGTGAAGGCTCGTTTGGAATTGTGTATTTAGGTGAATTCAGAGGATACAAAGTTGCAATTAAGAAAATAAAAGAGGGGTGCAATGACGAAATTAAAATTAAAGAATTTGAAAAGGAAGTGAATATGTTGGACAAATTTAGAAGTGACTATTTAGTCCACTTCTATGGCGCTGTGTTTATACCAAACAAGATATGTATGGTCACAGAATTTGCTCAATTTGGCAGTTTGAACGACTTGATAAAGAACAATAATAAAATAACAATACAAAATGAAATTAAAATTAAATTCATGAAAGATATGGCAAATGGGTTGCTTTACTTACACACAAACGGGATTGTACATAGAGACATCAAACCAGACAATTTACTTGTGTTTTCACTTGATATTAATGACAAAGTAAATGCCAAACTAACAGATTTTGGGAGTGCAAGAAATATCAATTTGTTAATGACAAACATGACATTCACCAAAGGTGTTGGAACACCGGTGTACATGGCACCTGAGGTGTTGAAAAAAGAAAAGTACAAAAAGAGTGCAGACATTTATTCATTTGGTGTCACTATGTATGAAACGTTGAAGTGGGGTGAAGTGTACGACAAAGAATTCTTCAAGTTCCCATGGAAAATAGCAGAATTTGTGATTTCTAATAAACGACTTGAGAGAAATGAAAATATGAGTGACAGTCAATATGAATTGATACAAAAATGTTGGAATCAACAACCGGAAAATAGACCAAATATCAATGAAGTCGTTAATTTTTTAAGAACATAATAAAATAATTTAGTTTTACTTTTCATTTTTTTAAAAAAAGTGTTTTTTATTCACATTTCAAAATTAACAACACTTTTAATCGTTCAAATAAATTATATACATATACAATATTGTTAATATACATGTAATAGTTAAATATATTTTTTTGTTGAATAGCTATTTTACATTATTATTCTCGATTAGTGATTTTTATAAATTTAATTTAACATTACGATTTTGTTTTTTATCTTATCTAAAACTTTCATACAGTCAGTCTTTTAACGTTATCTGGTGCCTTTTGGACCATAAAAATTGGAATAATTCGGGAAGCAGTCCCAAAAATCCATCCCAATTGTTTCGTATTTTTTCACGCTTTACCTAATGCCCGATGTTTAGACAAAAATGAAGGTATTTTTTATCCACCAGATAGCTTTTGAGACTAGATAAAGTTAAAAGACTGACTCTATTTGTGTAATTTGTTTGACATTTTGTTGAAACAATAATAAATCAAATAAAAACAAAAGTTATTAATTTCATTGTGTATCTACTCCAATAACATCTATTTTTATTCAACGGTATTATGTTGATAATCACGTGTGATTATCAACATAATATCGTTGTATTAAGTGATATATTATACAAATGTTTTTTCTTTCTATCATATTATTATTTTTCATAATACAACACAACAGCAAACACGTATATTGTTGTAACACAAGAACTATTATGATTTATTATAATGGAGACACTTATGAAATAATATATTTCAACAAATTAATAACAACAGTTGATTTATAGGTTTTACTGTTTTTTGCTACACTTTCATTCAAAAAATAGCCTAAAAATATACTTAACACGTTTCTGTTTCCAAAGACATTTTAAAACAACCAATTTTTTTGCTTTACCAATCGAATTATTTTGTTTTTTTGATTTTAAACAACTATTTTGAATAATATTTTTTAAAATCAATACTCATCTTGAAATTATTAATTAAAGTAAAAACACAAAAATTATTTTAAAACAATGAAAGTAAGGTCTCGATTGTCACACTATTGTGTTCAAATCTATAATCGACACATAATTTTTGACTTATGGGTCTTTGTCATTTACGTGTACGTTTACGCGACCTAGTTTAATAAAGATTAAAAATTAAATTAGATGTATCATCCGATAGAGATAGTGTTATGCCTGCAAAAGGCATTGTCGCGGAACACAATTTATTCTTTGTGATGTGTGTCGCGGAAAAGTGCGCGTAAAAGAAAAGATAAAGATGACTTAAAAAATTGGTTAATTACAAAGTACTTTCATATCTCGAAAAATTGAAGAAATGAATTAATTCAAAAATCTTAGTTGTTTTTGTTGTAACGTCTTATTGTTATTTTACTAAGATCGTTGCAAAAAAATGTTGTCAGAAATGCGAACGGGTTTTTCAATTATTTTTTCAAAAATAAAAAATGCAAAATATAAAAATTTTAACAACAAAGATTTTTTATAAAACAAAAAATAATTGGAACTTGAACATGTTAATTTGGTATATATTCACTCAAATAAGTAACACTTAAATATTTGGGTTTTAAAAACAAAAAATACTAATAATAAATGGTTTTTAATATTTATTTAAATGGAAAAAAAATGACATGTATGGTTTTGAGTGAAAAACAAAAAAGCCTCAACACAATCCAATTTTATTCAGATTATATTATTAAAAAAAATTTCAAATGTAATTAAACAATCATTGAATGAAATAATATTTTTGAACAATAACAAGAACAAACTATATTAATTAAAAATTTAATTTATTGTAAAATTTTTCTGGTTTTTAATTTAATAAATAATGAAAAAACACAGGTGTCCAATCAAAACCAACCTTTTGCATCAAACTAAAACGTTGGTTTTATGCACCTATTTCAATAAATGTTAGAGTTCAAACCGTTTTTGAGAGTCTTGAATGTCAATAAAAATATATTAATTAAATATACAGTATGGACACTCTGCCTTATGTAAAACTTTACCTTATGCAAGGATTTTATTATTCAATTTTAATATAACAAAACTATTTTAATAGTTAAAAAATTCAATTCTAAAAATACCAGACACGCTGCCTTATGCAAAAAGCTATTTTGAGGTTGTTTTTGGATAATTTTGAACAAGAAAACCAGAACTTTAAATTAAATGAATTAATGTTTAAAGTCTCGACACCGCGCCTTTGACTAGCGTAAAAAGAAAATCCCGATCCCGGTTTGTATTTTTTTGTTTTGTAAAATGGTATATGATACTTACTACCAGCTTGTCTCGTCGCCAAAGGAAATACAATTGCGCAAAAGGTTTGTTAATAAAACAAACGATGACAACAAACTCGCGTTGGACGGTGTTTACTCAGTCGTGAGTTTCTCAATGTGGCTGGTGTCCAAAAAAATAAAAATAAAGTGGGCTGTCATGGAAAATCGTTTTAAAACGGTCACAATTTCATGATGCTCATTGATCCTCATAATGGTTCATCAAATAATTCAAACAATTTTTATTTCAATTTAGTTATTAAATTATATTAAATAGCATATGTTTTTTTGTCTATTAATTCGCTTCAAACACAAGAGTTATCACAACATATCAAATATAATAAACACAAATAATATTCTTTATTAAAAATAATAATTTATTGTAAATTATTTGTGTTTATATTCGACTAACAATAATAAAATTGAAATCATTCATTTTTTCAAATACATTTGTGTTATTTTTACCAATTTTTGGAAGAATCCACAATTTTTTTATATTATAAAATAACTATATATTATAACAGGTTCCTTGCATAAGGTAAAGTTCCACATAAGCTAAAGTGACCATACTGTAATGCAAATACCAATACTAAAAAAACTCCTTTCCATAACATCAAAAAATAAAGTCTGTCTAAAAACGTTGTCCATTCGACAAAATTTTACACAAAATAAGTTTAAAAATTTAGGAATTACTAAAAATGTTCAAATCTCAGTAAAAATTATGAAACAATGTTTTGGGAATGTTTCGAATAGTTTTCGAAATATTCCAATTTTTATGCTTTAAAAATGCCTGGACAACGATTTCAGGTTGACTATAGTTATTAATTAATAACATATGTAAACCGAACAAAACAACTTCTAGTCTTCAAAAAGAAACCAGTGAAGTTTGTAACCATTTTCAAATAAATAAAGTGTATAAAAACGTTAATCTTTTTATTCAAAATAGAAAATGGGATATAGCTGCCCTTATTGTCACGTCACAAGTTGGCAAAAATGCAAAAAGTGCGGACAGTGTCAATGCAATTCGTGTGGAAAAGATGCTTCTGGTAGAAAGAGAGAAGCTGGCAATTATTGCAACAGCTGCAGATGCACAAGAGATGGGTGCTTTGAATATGGAGGCTCTGGAATTGCTCCATCATGGGCGGTTTAATTAATTTCAATTCTTTAATATTCAAAACTTGTTAAAAAACAATTAATATTCATTTGTCTTCACTATATAAAATAAATAACATTTTAATTAAAAACAACAAACTAGTAAATGTTGTTGTTAATTTTGGTAGTGGTATTTTATATACGAATAATAATTAGAGATTTTTAAAAGAAATGAACTATTTTGAATTAATTTTTTATTTATTGTTTGAATTTAAAAATTTATAATTAAAAATTTAAGTAACTTTAAATTTTTATGTTTTGCAATTATATAACACTGACCCCAAAAATTATCAGCATATTTAATACGCTAAAAGTTTGGGGTTTAACCTTAAATGTTTTATTATTATTAAACAACATCTATGTTTATTTAGTTTCACAATTGTTGTTGAATTTACTAATTTGTGTTTTTTTGGAGACAATAATAAATTACTTTGTGATTACCAAAATAATTATTTAAATACAAAAACAATAAAATACACAAACAAAGCAAACTACCGTATATTTGTTGGTTGGGTTGTCTTTAATATAAAAATTACTAATTCTCATTATTTGTATTGTCTGGGCACCACACCCCCACTTTTTAATGATTCCTTAGTTAATTGTTTTCAATGACACACAATTGTCAAAACAAAAAGGGTCAACGCTGTTATTAATAACGGCAATACAATTCTATCAAATTCAATTTTTGATTTATTCTACAAAAAACAAAAAGAATAATCACAATTCCTCACATTATTCGTTTTTATATCATTAATTCTAAACACTTTTGATAAATTTACTATTAAAATAACACCGACCTTAATTATTTTAACCACCAACACAAATTAAAAATTCTGCTCATGACGTTGTTTAATTGTATTAACACAATAATATCATAGATATTTTAATTGATACTTTATTATAATTTTAAGTTTGTGAAATTAATAAAATCAAATTAATAAAATTAAAAAATAAAACAAAATCATTCAATAAGCTATATAATGGTATATAGTCAATTTAAAACCGTTGTCTTATTGTCAAAAATAATTGATTCTTGATTTAAAAAACGGAATTGATAAAATTAAAAAATAGACACGACATTTGAAGCTTTTGAAAAAAACACAAAATATTCACATTATAATGGTCTAAAAACATCAGATAATGTTAAAGATTATGCTAATCCAATGACTATCAATAAAAATCAATTTTTTATTTGTTTTTTATACATTATAATATTTTTTTTAAAAAAATTAATTGATAATTATTGCATGATCATCCTTTTTTTTAATTTTAAATGTTATAAACAGTTTAAATAAATTGTTCTCTTTCTGACGTTTTCCAAGAAATGTGAATAATTATAATTAGATTAATTTAAAATAACTTTTTAAATCCTTCAATATTTTTAATATAAATAATTTCAAAACTTTTTAAATTAATTACATTTTAATTGCATTAAAATTAAACAATGAAAAAATAGTGTTTTTATAATAAATATTTATGTATAGCTTTCAATTTGTTGAATAATATTAATAATTTATTAACTCTTGTATTTGTAAGACATTTTTTGTTTATTGATTATTTAAAGAGTGTAAAATTGATTTTTTAAACGATTAT